CGGCGCCCCCTTCCCCCTCGCCTCCCCCGCGCGCGCCCCGGGTGCCGGCGGCGCGATGGTTGGACGGTGGTGACGGCCACCTTGCTGCTGCACCCCGCCGGACCTCGCGACCTGGACGGACGGCCGCGTCGTGCTCGTGCACTCCGGGTGGAACTTCCCTTACAGTCGCTTTGCGTCCAAGTTAACCTGAAACCTTTACGAGCTGATGCTCGGTACGGTAGTCGCAGTGGCAGTAGCCGTGGTAATGCGAGCTGCCTCTCACGAGTATTACAAGGCGCCGATCCCTCTCACCTACAGTCCTCCTCCCTCCCTGCCCCTGCCCCCGCCCGCTGGGAACAACTTCTGTCTGTCCACCCGGGAGCCTCTGCTACTCCGCTTCAGCAAGTCCTGCTTCGCTCCGCAACCGAGTCCGAGTTGCGCACCAACTTGCGTCTGCAAGGCGTGGCAATGGTTTGTTTCGCATCCCGCGACCATTGTCGCCAGGGCGGGGCGTCGTTCGGTGACACAGTCAAGTCAGTGGTTTTGTGTTGTGTTAACACCTCTCTGTCGTCAGCGATCGCTTCATTCCAGAGGAGGCGCACTTTTCTCTGATTCTTTCTTCTTCTCTTCCGTCCCTCATTTCGTTGAGATTGTCGCCCTGAGATCCCATTTATTGGACCGAGAGCCGCGGGCCGGGGGCGCGGCGCCGCCGGGGGCTGGTCTTGATGGCATCGTGGTTGTTACTGCACCGGAGATAAACGGGTAATGCAGGTATTTTCTTTTACGGCGGCTCGAGTTTCCGTGGCGTGACAGAGGTCCCTTCATCGCCGCTACGGCGTAACACGGGCCTAAAGCCACGGGCGGGCAGGCCTGCAAGGAGTGAGGGTGAGCGAAGGGTGGTGGAGGGGGAGGAGGGACTGTCAAAACGTTTCCCCTCCAGCCCCGAATCGGTTGATGGGTGGTGAAACCTTATGTACCTGGTACAAACGGAGAAGTGATGATGGGCGGCATAAAAAGGTTGTTGTTGCAACATTTTCACGGCAATGACCAGAGAGAACAAAATCTCGGACCTCTATGCCTTAAAACCCTCTTCAAAACTCGCCGATGAGGTGCTAGTGTACCAGGTATTATTGCGCATAGTTCTGGGCGTAATCAGACTCTTTTGATTTTTTCCGACTTTTCAAGTGCCCTCTCTTGACTAATTTTGGCCTCATTGATGTACTGTGAACCCGCCGCCGCAATGATTTCCAGAAAAATAAAGAAAAGAAAAAAGAGGGTCGCGAGCTGGAAAGCCGCGCCGCGTTCTGCATACCCTCCCAGTGATGCCTTTCAATTCAGCCCCGCGGTAAATAAATCCCGATGAAAATAGGATGAAAATAGGACGAGTGCGCCGCTGCTGAAACACGGGCGGCGCGTCCACCGCACTCTCCCCCGCACGCGAGGCGAGCGTAGCGTCCGCGTCCGCGCTGCATATTCAAAGGTAAGCGCGGGAAAATAATGGCGAGCATCAGAGGTGTTGGCAGTGCCAATTATTCCCGGGGATTGAAAAACGCAACAAGATACACATTGAGTCCCGGGCGGTACAGCAGCGTACAGTAAGGCGATAAGGGGGGAGCGCAAAGCGGTTTACATGGTAATTGTATGATTTTCATGCGTTTTTAATGAATACCAAATCAGTCCGACCAGTGGCGTAGCAGCCAGCGACTGGGCGAGAGAGAAGGCGGGAGGTTTCGGACACCCATGCTGCGGCTCGCTCCCTCGCACCCGTCACAAGCCTCGTTCTCTCCCTCTCTCTATGAGTGGAGCAAATCCGCGGCTACGCCGACCTACTCTGCCGGGGCTGACGTGGAAAACACAGGAGGCGAGATAGGATCCGGCCGCAGATTAGAGGAACGTTGCATTTATAATGCAGTTTAGCTGCGACCGATGTTGCAGTGTAGTACATCTCGGGCGTTATGGTAATGCGGTCCTAAAGGCTCCCCACAGTCCGGCCGCGGTTCCCACAAACACGCGGTGGAAAAGTCTACAGTTGGAAAGGCTCTCGTTCCGTCAGAAAACAGCCGACAAGTCGTCGTCGTGCGATAAAAATCATCCATAATCACGGACTCGTTAACAGTTCACATTAACCCGCATTAACCTTTTTACACGCACCTAAAAAATATCACCAACTATTGTATTCTTTTTAAGAAAATATAGTGCATGTGAGCGTTCGATAACGAAAATTTTGTCCGACGTAAACGACTTTTTGCGCCGTGCTAGAAAATTAAAATGATTTCGTACACGTTGCTTTTCCTCCTATTTTTTTGTTTCAATTTGTATATTTCCCGCGCTGTTGGTTGCGTGCGCCGCGGTCCCCCGCGCGTGCGGAATGCCATAGGGCGCGACATTCGTATACACCTCGCGCGCCCCGCCCCGCCCCGCCCGGCCAGGCCGCGGGGCGCAGCGCAGTCCTCAGATTTGTCGGCTCTGCGGCCTCCTTGCTTGGCCTGCAGCCCGACGACGAACGAGGTGAGCTCTAATTATCACAGCAAGGAATTTTCTTTCCTTGATGGTTGTGATACGGCTGGGCAGGGCGGGGCTGGGCGCGCGGCGGGGCCGGTGTGTGGTGTGGCGTGCCCGCCGCACTTACAGCAGCCGGGGCAGCACGGGACGAATTTATGCGTTCCGCTGATCTCCCTGACTTGATGCCCGTGCCGCTCCCTGCCAACGCCCCGCCACGCCCCGCCACGCCCGCCACGCCCTCCGCTTGCCGGGGCCGTGCGATTTGCGATTATTTACTGTTTTCAGCACAAAATTGTGATAACGAGCTCCCCGCGAGGGTTAATTCGGTCAGTTGTGTGGGGCTGATGTCAACTCGGCGGAAGTCGGAGCAAGTAAAGAAAAGAGAGAGAAATAAAGAAAGTAACATGAGCGTTTAACTCGGTGCAACTTTTAAGAAATAATTTTTAATTTTGGTAAATACCACTATACAAATTAGGGGAAGGACATCGCTACAGCAGCCCAACACACGAGCGTGTCGAATGAGTTGCCTAGCGTCCCGGCGGCGTCGCGCCCGGTGGTTGGCGTCCGGACAGGATGCAATCACGGAAGAACGGCGGGAGAGGAAGCGATCAAGTTGGTTGATCACGCGCAGCTCTCTAGAGAACGGTCGCACGGTATGACGGGAAAACAAGCATGCGGACGGGGACAGAAACAAAGTTTAGGAACCGGTGATGTTGGCGCCAAGGAAGGGGAGGGGTG